GCCCCATCACACGTACTCGGCGGGACAGTGGCGCTCTGGGATTTACAGCACCGCTTCTGCCCAGAGCAGCGCCACGTAGAAAGAAGAAATCACCACCGCTCGTCACCGTGGTGGCCTCCAGCTCGTCAGGCTGGTTAAAACCACCAAAGCAGCATCGGAGACCAGGCGGCTTTAAAGGAGAGGAGGTTTCTTGGACACTTCTCTGCCAGCGGCGGCACGCAGCTCGTTGGCTGGGAGGGGTGGTGGACGTTCGAGATGCGCCAGGCGAGGGCCTGCGCGATGCTGAGCGGCCGTCGTGCAAATCTCCCTTTCCTTCCCTGGAGATATTCAAAACCCGCCTGGACGCGACCCTGGGAAATATGCTCTAGGTGACCGTGCTGGAGCAGAGGGGTTGGACTAGATGATCTCCAGAGGTCCCTGCCAACCTCAACCCTTCTGTGATTCTGCGAAATAACAGGGCACTACATCACAGAGGTTTCAGCTCTAGCGCTAAAAACTGGCAAGCTGGTTGTATCACACCCGTGTCTGCGTTACAGCCTTTGCCTTCTGCTAGGGAGATGCAAGGCAGCCAGGGCCGCCTGTCGCGCGGGGAGCTTTGCACCCAAAACGAAGCTTGAACGTGACCTCCTGCAGCCCGAGCGCAGGTCGCGCGACCAGGGGAAGGCTTCTGGCTAAATTAATTCCAGGTATGGAGAATTGCTCGTACCGGAGGGGCCAGTATGGGCCACACGCAGCATTTTGGGGTATCAGGCTGCAGAGACATGCATCTTATGCAAGGCGGTCGCTGCAAAACAAGTTGTTAAAATGCTAAAAATCACATCATTGAATTAGGTGATGACATATGAATGCAGACGTGCATTTCAAGACTAGGTTTTAAAATACCGGCCTAAATTGATTTATAGCATGGCTATTCTACTTTGTCGCCTGAACAGTCGCGGGCATGGCTGCAGACCGCCCGTGCACAGAGCGGCAGGGACGGGACGCTCAGGACGTTAGCAGCATAGCTCTGACGGTGTCGTCACGTGTGCATTTTAAGCACATGTAACTGAAGGCCCCTGAGGACACCCGCACCCGCGGGACTGCTGCTGCCTGAGCGGCCCCGGCCCCGCGGGGCGCCCGGCGAGTGACACGGAGCGCACCAGCAGCGGGGTGCAGCGAGCTGCACCGAGTCACAGCGCTACCGCGGCAAACTTCACAGATCGCCTTCGGTTCAGCTGTAGGCAAACTCCTACCGTTTCCCTTCGACAGAGACTTGCAAGAGAAAAGCATTTAGCAGCTTCAGGAGAATTTTTCAGACGCTGTGCTGTGACCTGCAGGACGGTGCAGCTAATTTTTGTGAAGTGCGTGAATCGGTGAGCTAAAAAAAGTATTTCCTGTTTTACAGTTGTGGGATTGCTTTTTTCACAGGTCCGCTTTAAAATTGTATGCGGTCTTTTCCTTAGGCTGCTTATTGCTAATTTAAGAAGGGAAGAAGAGAGATACTTGGCAGAACATTTCCGCTCGGATACCGAGCAACTTTAGCTTTCGCAAGGCTCTTGAGCAATTCCCTGGCGATAAGAAACTGGCTTCGAGCTTCCCCTCGCAAGGGTTCAGCGGTGTCAAAGTGCTGTTTTGGATATCAGGATTTCCTGGACAGCTCAACTTGGCCTGCAGGAAAATATAAAAGGTGCTTCTGGTTGTAACACGGCGTGAACGTGCTTTGCTGCTTGAGCTGATGCAGCGGCACTAGCCAACGTTGCAGCTCTAAGGATGGCAGCGGGGCAGCTGCAGCTCTTCCTTAACGTCAGGATTCAGGATAGCTTTTGTGCAAAGGCAAACAGGTAAGAGAGGTTTGAATGAGACTTTTGTAAGGGAGTTTGTTAGGAAGCAGCCCAATGATCTGAGAATCAGTAATTATTCGCTTTTCAGCAAATCATCCTTCCCTTAGGAGAGCCAGCAGGGGTACATGTGGGTTATACAACACGTCGGGCATGGAAATAACTGCACTTGGGACTGCCCGGAATAACCTGGGACAGCTATCAAGATAGGTAGGCAGAGATATCTAAATATCTACCAATAGCATGACTCGGACATTTAAAAAAGCAGAGTTTAGTGAGGAATTTGGAGTGGGTTTGGTTTTGGTTTTGCTGTCTGTTGTCTTTGCTGCTGGGTTGGTATCCTGCTGCCTACTCGCTCCTGATTTGGAAAGGATCCCGCTCTAAGGACTTCCTAAATAGACACATCCTACAGAACAGCCTGTTGCTGAATCGCATGTCCTGCTCGCAGACAGGGAGGATTTCAAACCCCGCTGGAGCCGAGCGGCGGTATCCCGCCGGGTTCGGAGGGCTCTTCTCGAACTGTGGCCCCCCGCGCGTTGTGCTGCCGTGTGCGGGTTCAGCAAGATGCCTCAGTTACTGGACGGGATTGCATAACCCAGCTGTGCGATAAAAAACAACAACAAAAAAAGGCAGAGGTTAAACGTTTCTGGAAAGGGACTGAGACACGAGAACGCGCCAAACTTATTTTCCAGGGACCAAATGGTACTCAAGAGAAACATCTGACCAAACCACAGGCTATACAAACGAAAGAAGCTTCGGGTTTACGGCCTTGCTCACTTGAACAAGCAACTACAGGGCTGATGAGGGCAATAGTCTGACAAACAGCTCCTCCAAAGGCAAACACAACTGGGCTGCTCTAGCTGTGCCTGTCACCTCGGTTCAGGCTGCTAGCTACAGCTGCTTGCTTTCAGAAAAGCAAACCTTTGATCTCACCTCTTGTTCAGAGGTTTAAAATGGTGTTAGCCAAGACTAACAAGAGAAGTTTCAAATGAACAACAAAAACATCCTAACGGCAGTTCTGCTCTAATGGAAACGGCAGAACTAGCAGCAATAGCAGAAAAAGCAAGCTGGACTCTGCAGTGAGAACTCCTGCTTTCTATCTGCGAAAAGAGATTATTTACTTCCAGTCACATGATGATGAAATACTCCCTGTTCCAAAGACACCCAGCACATGTCCAAGAGCTGGCTAAACAACTTTGTGATTTACTAACCCTCATTTTCCACATGTGCTGGAACACTGGGGAAGCTCCAGCAGTTGTAGAGAAAACTTACATTGTTCCCACCATTTTTTCATGTTCGAAGGAAAACGTAGATAAATCAAGGCACCTTCATCTTCCACGCACCTACTGCCAAACAAAGTGACTCAAAAGGACTGAGCTAGCATGACTAAAGCAGAGTAACACAACTAATGATCATCAAAGCGGTTTAATGGAAAACAGATCCTTGCGCAACTTGGTATCTGGTTTTTTTGTAGATTTCCAAGTAGGGTTGGGAACGTTCGTAGTAGCTCCATAATCTCAGCCTTTGCCTTGTGACCACACAGCCTGAAACAGGAATGACAGGAAATCAAGATTGCACACGTTTAAAGGGAGCAAAAATTACTTGGGAACGCGCAGAGATCTCAACAGCAAAACGGGATCACCACCAGGGAGGTATGCTTCCAGTGCGGCCTCGCAGAGATTATTTCTTAGTCCTAAACTACTTCACAGTTTTACCAAAATCTAGAAAACATTAAATCAGGGGATTAAAAAAAAAAAAAAAAAAGCAGGATTTATAAACAACGGGAGAGGAGTAAACAATGGAGAATATGCATCACCACATTGCTCACCCGGGGCGAGCAAAACCCACCTGCGTTAGGAAAACGACACCGAGCGCTTTCTGTGGGTCACTGCCCTGCAAAAGAGCGGATGCGAAGCGCGCTGGAGGGCCGCGTGGACCAGCTGCCTCAGCAGAAGCTGCCGCCGAGACGCTGCGGGTACAGTTAACTTAGGCGTAGAAAGGTCAGTGCTTAGATGGAGAAAGTGAGGTACTACCAGCAGAAAGGTTATATGCCACAACTACTACAAGAAGCCTGTGTCCAGCTCTAGCATCTATAATTCAAAGAGAGACGCAAAAAAAGCTGAGGAGAGAAAAAAGCCACACAGACGATTAAATACGAATTGAAAAACATTCCTTATAGCAAGACTCACAAAATTACGGCCAAAGGACTCAATCTGTTTAGATTAACAAAGAGAAAGTGAAGAGGCAACTTAATTATAGACTGTAATTACCTACAAGGGGTATTTTAGATGTAATAATAAAGAACACGTCAATCTAAGAAATACACAGCAAGACAGAAGGATTTGGAGGCTGGAACAAGACAAGTGCAGACTACAAACAAGATGCAGCTTTTAGGTTTCAGGGCTGTCTCACAAGAGGAATTTTTAAACCGCAGCTGCGTGCTTTCATGGAGCACTGTCTCCAGATCCAAGAGGGACTGACGAAGGGCCTGTGTTTTAAGGATGAGCAGACAGCAGCGGTCCTTGCACATTTATGAATTGCTGAAAAGACCACTTCATCTCCAAGTGATGTTCCATACGCAAACCAGTGCTCCGCCATACAAATAAGGGCCTCCTTACACAGTAAAGTATTCACCGATACAATTACAGCATACACAAACACCGAGGGAAACAAAAACTCCTTTGATTGTCATCAGGAATAGAAAAGGATCATCAGGTGCCACAACACTGGGCAATGGCAAGCATTCGCAAGATAAGCAACTGCTGGGACTTTGTAATGACTTCGGAAACAGAGCAAACACACACGGCTCAGTAGACCCAATCCTGCCCCCATTCTGCTGGGCAGGAGCACGCTGGCTGTGGTCAGGCTCTCACCCTCTGTGACAGCCGAAGTACCTAACAAAGCACTCCCATATGGGGACTCCTCTTTCAAGAGTCATAGCAACCATTATGTCACAGGATGGCAGAAAATATGCACGTCTGTTGGCGAGACAAGCCTGCCTTTACTTAACTCACAAAGAATGGCTCGCAGGAACAATGCATGCAAAACCTTTCAAAAAGAGGCATTCAATGCTTTGGAGGCTAAAGAAAGCCACAATTCACTTGTTTGCTTGCTCTAGTTTCCCCAGCCTCTGTAATTTTTGGGAAATGCAGCTCGGATAAGTGCACCACACTGCATACTTTGATAAGCGGCAAAAAAAAAACCAAAATGCTTTTGCAAGAGTCAGTGAGACTGATTTCTATTCAGCTCACATCCCAATTCCAAGCTAAGCCTGGCCTACGGTTCTGTACAATTACGTCCACAAAACACACAAGTAACAATGAACTAACACACAAAGGCCATTTACACTACAAGTCAATTACTTTTTTTATTCAAAGAAAAAAAAGGTATTTTAATAAATACTGCAGAAACATTAACCAAACATACAAAGTGACTTCAACAATTAAAAAAAGTAATGGATGTCCTGTTTTATAACAGTTATAACTTATTTTCTTTTCACAATATTTAAATACAGAAAGCACTTACCAGCTATTTTGTAATACTGCCCTAAGCGCATGGTTGCATCAGTCAAAAGCTTATTAATGGTGGTAAAAATGTCTTTTTGTGGGAAACAATTGGAAGTTTTTTTTCCTTCTTTTAGCAGATGAAACAAAGTGCTGGGAACATATGGAGCTGGGTATTAATTATGGTAATCCTTTACCTTTGCACAAATCAACATGAACACAGCTTTAATACTTCAAAAATGAAGCATTATCATCAGAAACAATGCTTGTTCTCAACAAGCTATAGCCACACTGGTTTGAGCTTACAGTATCCTTTCTTTGAGAGAAGCCATGAAGTGAAGTTGGTCAGGAAACAGTTGCAAACTATTTTAAAGGCTGATTTATTTAATTTAACAACAGTAATCAGCAAGCTAAGAAGAATTTGACTCATCTGGTTCACTGAAGTTATGTTTAAATGATCGTTGTCTGGATACGTATGCATTAGTCTTGCAGACTAAACGCTGTATCCCGTTTCCACTGGGGACCCTTTAAGGCGTCACAGTTCTGCAGACTCCATTTCCTCACAGCGCTCACCATGAGCGAATGAAATCTGTAGTAAGAGACGGCTGCCCCAAATAATCATAGGGGAGTGTATCGCATACAAGATAATCTGGCTCTGCCGGTTCATTTGCAGATTCTTGGTTTTAAGCATAACCGCAGAGAACCACATCACGGAATAGCTCTTCCCCATAGCATTTTCAGAGGGCTAAATCTTAACTGCTGGGCTCTACCGGCCCTAACAGAAGCAGAGGAGTCTCAGGGCTTCCTCAGCTAGGCAGTAAGGCTTAATGAATTATTTTCTCAAAACTAACAATCATTTGTAATCAGAGCTCTTAGCACCTTTCATTTGATTTTATAGTTGAACCTACAGTGAAATACCCATACAGTACACCAGAACTTGAGATCATTTCCATTTTAAATTACAACTACAGAGGAATGGAAAGTCAAGAGTCCTGGAACAGGCAGGTAGCTTGCCCCCACACGCCAATTTGACCTGTAGCGAGGGCACCTATAATACTGGGAAGTCTCAAACGGTCATCATCTTCAACTTGCTCAAGTTTGCAAGATTGCCTTGCTGAGATGTCAGCACAAACTCCAAACTTCTCACATACAGTGTTTTCTTCTAGGTGACCCACGGGCCTTCACGTAATTTCCATTTTAGTGATGGGCTACTAGAAAATTATATCATATCCTTTGGAAAACCAACTATAAGGTCACAGGAATAGCTCCCTAATGAGGAGGGCACATTAATAAGTCTGGTTTTAAAAACGTTAAAGTATTATTTTATCGAAATCAAAGTGGTAGCATCCAAGAGTAGAGCATTAACAAAACAAGTATTGTCAAGGACATCTCTTTGCTGTGCTATTTTTCCATTCACCTTCTCTCTTCTCAGCACATTCAAATATTTTCCTTTTTTGGCATTTTCTTCCATGTTACATTTCTTGATGCCACCTCATTTAGAGCCATTTCTTTTCACTGCTTGGTCTACATCCTCAGTTCCTAAGTACAATCTCACACAACAGAGTGAAGAGTCTCCTTTAAAGCACTGGCGTAAGCCCTCATTATATACCATGTGGCTGTGTACTTCATTGAGCCTTCACCTCTCCTGAACACACTCGTCCTCCTTCTTAAGGTAATCTAGGTCCTTCACATCACAGTGCAACTCTTTGCTTTGTCCTTTCGCAAGTCTGTAGCCACTGTAGAAAGTTCTGGCCTGCCAGGCATGTGTGAAATCCGCTTCGTTGCCCTCTGTGATTTGTTTCGTTTAACATTTTTATTTGTTTTATTCACGCACGCCAAGGTGGCAACATGAAAAATGTCTCTCACACTGTTTTCTGACTGTAAGGCTGAGCATTCAATATATGTTGCTGCTCCAATCTGTTTGGCCATATTCGCACCCTAAGGGAAAAAAAGAACACACAATCAATACCAAGCTTCCATACAGAGCCAAAGCAAACCACAGAATCACTCTTCAGCACTGCTTTCCATACACACAGTTTTGGGAAAACAAACGCTAGAACACCAGTGCGACAGCCAGCAACTAATTTTGCAAAATAAACAGAGCTTTGGTTCCAAGATGTATTATACAAATATTCAGGCATTGTTCCCTGTGAGGGAAAATAAGATTTGAAAGAGAGACGATAAGCTTAGTAACCTGCAAATAGCTGCAGAAACCCTGAATCATATTTAGCCGGGCCTTTCCGCAATTGCGCCCTTATGCCCTACTTGCGCTGCTGAAGCATGTGCTCACTGTGAAAGGCGTGGATCTGGCAGCTTCCAGATTTAAGCCTGGTATTTCCAGAGAGAAAGGGTATTTTGACTCACTTACAGGCTAGTCATTATGCCTCTGTCCCGGAGTGGAGCATGCAAGTCAAATCCTTGTTACACTTCTAGTAGGAAGGGGCAAAATTCAAAAGGGAAAAGTGCTGTGGGTTTCTGGGCGAGGGGGCCAGTCACATGAACTTACTGTTAGGGGAGGGGGACAGTGGTCACCAAGCCCTTCTTCTAAGCCCTTACCCAAGCCTTCTTCCAGCAGCACAAGAAAAAATATCAAGCTGCTTTGACCGATCAATATTCTGTGGTGGATTTTGCTACAGGAAGATGATACAGCATTGTTTGGAGAAGTTAAAAGGATCATTTTAATGGAATTTTACTTTGGAGAGACAAAAGTACAGAAGTCTTCCTAGCAAGTTACTAAATCCAACCACAGTCTTGATGGGCCACTCCTCATGCAGCCATGTACATGAGAGCGCACTGAAGTCACCTGACCCCTCCTCTTTGCTCCCAGCTGTAACAGGCAGGCTGATGGCACTTATCTATTTGGACCACATCTTCATTACGTACTGTTTGCACTGCAGTGATGCAGTCAGCAGTCATTCTTATTATCAATAGTAAGCATGATCCACTGATAAAGCAGTATTAGTTTCCAGAACCAAGCCCTCCCCACTGTTAAATACCTTAACTCCTACTAAGCTAAACCTACATCACAGTGTGCGTCAAAAATGTTTACTCAGGTGCAGCTGACTGAAAACTGCCTAGCATACCTGCAGACAGGATGTCACCATGAAGCAAATTTATCCTCCAAATACTTCCTCATGAAATTAAGTGACATGGGAAAACCCTTCAAGTCTGATCCCATGTTGACTTAGCAAGGCTCAGGGATATGAAAAGAGGAAATTGTGTTATCTTCACCCCAGAAGACTTTTGGCATGGAAAAATGCTGAGAAAGTTATGGGGAAATCCATTTCTTTCCCAACCACTTTTCACAGCAGTGATGCACTTTAATATCTTAATACAATCAGACTAGGTATTTCCAGGAATGTTTTGACCCATTTAAACAGGGAGGAAGAAAGCAGTACTAATGTTATGGGAACTTTAAAACCACATTAAACCATGAGCTTTGTAGATTACAATGTAAACTTGATTTTCTCCCATTAATTTCCAATAGCTTTGGCATTTGGCTTTCATGCCAAACTGTGTAATTAAGCAAACGAGATCAGGGAGACTAACCCCTTTAATACCCTACTGCTAAGCTCTCCAATGAAGCAGTCTTCTCTAGAACTAGCACGCAAGATCACTGGGTTGTTTTATGCCACTGCTGGACATGAGCAACAGCAAAAACAGAACCATTGCTCACCAAGCTTTCATTTAACGTAGAGTGCAAATGAAGTTGTGCGAGTTTGTGGAAGTAGGGTCCTCACTATATCATGTACCATTTTTCCTTTGCTGTTTAGCCAATTGGTATATGTAATAGGTTCCTTCGGCTGGCCTAGTCCTTTGTCTCCATGCGACTCCTGCTCCTAAAGGGTACAGACTAAGCTGTAACATCAGGAGAGGTGTGAGCCTCCAATTCCTGGTGTCAGGAAACATTTGTTGGATTTTTAAGCACTGTTTACGGAAAAGGGTCAGATCTAGTCATTTTACTTAAGTACCGTTAAAAAAGGAAGAGTTTAACATATGAACTTCAGATTGATTATGTCAAACGGCAAGCAGGATTTCCCTTCAGATTTCTAAGTCTTGTACTCCTCCCCAAAATAATACGGAACGTTCTAGCCCCAAGGCTGAACAACATGAAAATATATCAGTGTAAGCCACCGCTTTTGTACAAGACTGCATCTCCTGCAATTAAGCAGGAAACTTCTCATTTCTTAATACTCTGAAACTAAATGGCATTTAGTTTCAAAGAGTATCATCTGAACTTGGAGGGATATATTTACTGAGTTAAGCACAGCAAAAAAATTAATATAAACAGCATAACCCATCACAGTAGAACAGCCCATCTTATATTTTAATTAAGATACTCAGTTTATGGCATATCAGCATTTTTAATTTTAAGCATGCTGTAGGAGGCTATATTAGTAATTGCATGTTATGAGCTGTTGGGTTGAAAAACCTGAGGCTTTGGCATAAGACATCAAAAGCTGTTTGATAGTGTAGGATATGCACACCAGCTAAAGTTGCCCATGCAGGTATCATTTTCACTCTTACACCCTGAAGGATGTATCTGAAATCACCACTGTGATTCAGCTGCAGTACAGGACACATGTGTGGGTAATAAGGGGAAGTTTCTCTGGATCCTAGTTTTCCTATCTCCTGTCCTCCTCCCACAGCCTGCTTCCTTTCCCTTTCACCTCAGTTTCTTCAGCCACCACCCCCCTGCCAATGTCTGGCTCCAACCTTTTCACTTCCCCAGCAGCAGAGGATTTCTGCTAGGGTTTGAGGAAGCTTGCTGGATTTGCTGCCACCTTCAGAGGGAGCTAAGCGATGTGAGAGGGTATTTTCAAGCAATAGGATTTTTAAGGGGTTGGATTCCATACAGTACTTGTCAGCATGCTAAAGCTGCATGGATGACATAAAAATTTTTGTCTTGAGAGTTCAGGTTTGATAACTAGTAAGTGATTGGGAAACATCACATCTCAGTTATCATTTTAGCTTCCCTACAGTCTCAGAGAAGTGGTAACTTAAGTTTTCTTTCACTTCAAGTCTCTGTGCAACCAGTAAGGCTTCAATCATTATGTAGAAACTTATGTATGCTTTGGGGGACTACATGACTTTTTACTGCATCCAGTCTACACGTAGGCTTTGCCTTTGCTCATCACAGCTTCCAAGCTCACCTCCAGCAACTATTCAGTAACATGTTATCTGTCTTCTTGGATGCATCTACACTAAAAAGGAGGGAGAAGCTGTTCATAAAGATGAATGCAATGACAGAAAACACTTACCTGATCATAGGACACTGGCGTCTGCCTGTGATTAGAAAGTTCTACTAGCGTGCTCACGTCTGTACGCAGATCCGACTTGCAACCAACCAAAAGCATTTTGGTGTTAGGGCAAAACTCCTGGATTTCACCTTTCCACTGCAAAATTTTAAGGGCGTTACTACACTGGAATCATTAAGTGTTTAAATTTATTAGAGAAACAATGGAAACAGGATGAAGTTGGATAACTTCTCCACATAAAATTGCATGATTTCTTCTACATAACAGATGGACGCAGAGCTTGAAGCTTAGCTCTAAAGGCAATAGTGCCAGCAGTATCTAGGCAAGGATGAAATCTTGCAATCCTATACACTCATTAGTTGTACTGACTCACTAAGCAAAAGAGAATGAATGAGATCATGTTTACCTACATGAGTAAAGACCTGCAGCTATGTCACTCCCCACAGGCAGTAAACAACCAGCCATACCCATACAGAGACAGGAACCAATGGAAGCTGGTGCCATTACATTCAACGGTTCCTCAGAACTGAGCTATGGAAGCACGTCTGGTATGAACAAGTATTGCTATGCATCGGCTCTCACCTACATTCTAACACCTAAAAATACATTAACCTGTGAAGTGTTCAGGTGTGGTTATCCCAGTAATAAGCCATTCAAACAGACAACTTTTGATATTCTTTGTGTCCCTCCCCACCCATAGAGGGTTATTGTGAGAAAACTAGAAAGGCAACAACTCTGCAGCCAAACTCAGCTTCTACAGGCTTGTTGGCTTACATAGTTGAGATGATAATCTTTAGTATTTTCTGTAAACTATTTAAAGCACTGCAGGCTACTTTACTGCCACTGAATCAGAAATCACAAAGAACCATTAAGCTTCACATGCAACACGGCAAAGTTTGAGTTGCACCTAGTGACCAAGGAGAGAAGGTAAGACCACCCTGTGAACACAGACCTCGACTCTCAAACCTCAGTGTTTTAATTCAGTGGAGAATCAGGCAGACTCCTGAATTGCTGAGCTTCTGAAAAAGTCAGGTTTGGTGTGGGGTTACATTCCTATGCTATTGTTAGGTCTTCTTGATGCCTCCCAGCCTCATTTGCTGCTGGCTCCTTCTTACTTAAGATTGAGAATAACGTAGTCATGGCATAAGTCTAAACACTTGGTAGATACATTGACTGCATCTTTGAAACATGAAGTTTCAGTCCCGTCTGTCATATGACTATAGCTTTAGAGATAGTTTCTTGCTGCATCCAGCCTGGTATACTACATTATCTTTAACTATTCATTGGTGTTTTAAGGGCAGAGGAATGACTGTTTTGCTTCACACCTACAGCTTTTATTAGGTAATTTTGTTGTTTTCAATTAACATTCATTCCTTTCAAACAAAGAGCTTGTGTTCTAGCAATGCAAAACAGTCTGGTCTTCCTCCCATTGAGGGGGAAAAAAACAACATAGAGGTTTTCAGTGTAGGAAACAGAACCACTCTTCAGAGTTTTAGAGGCAGGCTACTTATAAACAGATCCATACTCGAATGTTTCTCAAGCACTTGCCTTTTTTAGCACGCTGTCAAGAGTTTCTGGCCGACTAATGTCAAAACAAATCAAGACAGCATCAGAATCTGGGTAAGAAAGTGGACGGACATTGTCGTAGTAAGGGGACCCTGCAGGGAAAAGAAA